TGGAATTACTGTATAACCGTTCACTGTTTAGACCTGATGAATTCATTCAGTGTGACTCTCTGCTGGACTTAATGGGCAACCAAACCGCGAAGGAAGCACTTGGCTTCGGATGCACTAAGGTATACGACAATCGTTTTTTTATATCAATGAAATAGTAAGTAACAAGTTTACTTTATGTTTGGTGTTAGTCGCTCGGTCAGCAGAAATGAATTAAAATTGAGTATTAATTATAACTTAAACTATGATTTCACATGCGACGCCGAGAAAGGTTTTCCTTTAACCCTTTCGATGTATGTCATAGGTTTTAAATGACGCAGCCAAGTAACACCCTTTCATAATATTATCATAATGGCACTTTCTAGAATCATTGATTGTCAGACTGATAAATGGCTTTAACAACCATGCTATGATGAGATTTCTGGGTTGACTGAATGATGCGCAAGGCATTCTGGCTGCGAAAGTACGAACTGTCGAAGTTCTTCGAACTCTTTACCATGAAGAAGATCGTCAGACACGGACCAAAACGTCGGTGATGGTCAATCATCTGATTGTTTAAATTACTTGCGTATTGTATAAGTAAACCGTGCTTTTTGCTTGTCTTTCATGAAGGCATTTATGAAAATATTTATCGTTCTCTGCTAGGGTAGCAATGAAGGCCTGTTTTTCACACTGAAATAATTTATTGACGAGACACTGCTAGTGAAGACTGCATATGCTATGACTTTTTGAATTAATTTTTCTTAGAAAAGCACTTTCTGACTAGAATGCCGAGAAAAATAGTTTGTGGGCCCTCTGAACTTATCGTCAGGTAATCAGGAAGAAACCTGTTCTCTCAAGTATAATTTTGTCAACAAAACACTGAACAGAAAATGCGTTAATCATTGCTTATTTCGACGGTTTGCGTATTGTGCAAAGAATAAATTTTCACAAGGACAGGACACCGAAGAGTTTTCACTTCCTCTGGGTTTAGCTTATTTTTGCCGGTATCACATTTCGATGGGGGTTCAAAAAGGTAGCGGGCGTTCTGTGACATTTTAGAGCAGTCCTTTAAGTGCACACTGCAGGGATATTCTGGCAATACATAGTATCGCATTTTCCGTCACATACACTGATCATCTATGCCAATAACAATGTGACATGACAATCAGAATAAAAATTTTCTCTTATTCATAGTTTTTACATGACTGTGAAACTCTGCTGGGACCCTCCGCCCATCAGTTTTGTTTAGCATATTACCGAAGTTTCGAACTATACCTGGCTAACTATCAAGTTATGTCGGTAATATGCTACATAACAGTTACATGCGGAGCAATCCTCGAAGAAACGTGAAGACCATCGAGTTAACTTACTACATGAACGAACACTGTTAAGTGTTCAGGATGTATATCAATGTTGATATTAATAGTTTCAAATGACTATCGTAAGTCAAAAAGCATGCTTTGAACGTTAGTAGTGAACTAAGCAGATATCTTTACACACAATAGGACATTGAAATAGCTGCGTTTCTTCTTATAAAAGAAATCTCTTTGCCTGTGACTAGACAGTGAATGATGAGGCAGTTAAAACTTCTTTAAAAAGAAATTTTTACCAAATCCCTAGCGAGTCGACATCACCTTGAGCCAAACCGCACTACCTGTAATCTATGTTTTCAGTTGATTTATTATTTCGGGTCGCAAGAGGCAGACGGGTCAAACAGTCTCTCGATTGTCCCCGATCCTCTGCCAGCCTTTGAGGTTCGATAGAAGATAACCCAGTCTTAAGCACACTTATTCCTTACGTTGTTCCCACGTTATTCTTCGCCGTTCCCAGGTTTTGGTCGTCCTTCATAGAAGTATTTGCAGTCAGATGATTTACTGCTGACAAAACAAGAATTTTCGTGATGCTCAAACTAAAATCCTCATCTTTCAGTAGTGACACGTAGTAAACTACTACACAAGAGTTAATCTATGCCGTTTTCATCATTATCATCTCATTTTTGTACTTGCTTTCAACTTTCTGCTGTACTTCTGATTTATGTCACATGTACAAGCTTTTGTACTGCTGAAATCTTTTTAGAATTTCCTTTTCCAATTCTGCCGGTTTTGTATGTGCACGCTAAATAGCCAAGGTTTTTGACCATAGTTACGTGTTTGGTATATTAATTTAATGCTACTTGTTTGAATTGTCAAAGAAAGTTAAAAAGCAGCTATTTTAGTCGTTAAATACAGCCCTATGTTTTGTTATGAACAAAAAACGAGTTAAAAAATGTATTATGGCATGAGGACAGTCGTCAGAGATGAAATAGGTAAGTAATCATTAAAGTGCTAGCTAGATTTTTGGTATAAAAATGTTACAGCGAAGGTTAGAATATTTTAGCGGTTTCCTTGTAAATAGTTTCATTTTCAGTTCGGTGGAAGTCGTTGGGAAAACGTTGAAAAAACTTCACTTTATTGCCATCCGCTTCCATGTATAGAATGCTATGGCAGCCGAACGTTTAAGCGAGATGGATTTCCTTGTTTAAAGTTTAAAATATTTTGTTATACTTTTTCGTAGTTAATTTTATTTTTCAGATATAATGGACATTACTTTCTTACTGCACTGCTTTATTCTATCTTTCTGGGCTTTTTTGCTGTCGACAGGTTCTACCTGGGATATACAGGCATTGCCGTTGGTAAGCTGATGACTCTTGGTGGACTTGGGATTTGGTGGATTGTGGATATTATACTTCTGATCACCGGAAATTTAATGCCTGAAGATGATTATAGTTGGATGCCGTACTATTAAATCACTGATATTTCCATTTAAAGCTAATGAAGAGTGTATGTCTGTTTTAATTTTTGAGACAGGTTTTTTTGTGCTTTTCGTTAAAATATTGCATGGCATTAGTTTGCACAAGTTTTTTTTACTGAAATGAGTCGAATGCGCAGCCTTTGCTTCCTCGGATTTCGTCTTCTACGAAAATTAATGCTTTGTGAATTAGGAACTCTGCATTGTTCGGCGCTAAATGGTTCGCTATATTGTTAGCTGATTGCC